CATAGTGACCCCTCCTTGGGTTTCCGAGCCAGTATCACTATGGAAGTAGATTGCCCAACCTTCCTTCCAAGGAGTGTCTTATGGGTTTGAACTGCCAGCCTTCTGGTTAGCAGTCAAATATCTGAGGCACTATCCCACCAGAGCTCCTGCTAGAAACTGCTAATCCTCCCTCCCCCATAACTTTCATTTTACTTAGGAAACAAAACTCCAAATTGTCCAAATGGCTCTCCAGAGGTCATATAGCAACTTAACTTTGTGTGCCCACTTGACTCTAGTCAACTTCCTTGAGCACAGGAAAAAAGACAGCCCTGAGAATGTAGAGGATGCCTCATCATTGTCCATTTGAATTTTACCATCTGAATGTACTTTAAATCATTTTATGGAGGATGACCAAAGGCTGAAACTTCCTTAAGCTATTTGGCTCATAACTGTGACTTTGAAGGCTGGTAAAATGATTCATTTGGGCTGTGCACAAACTGAATGTCAGTGTGCTGGCATTAGGACATGACACAATATCCTGTGTTGGGCATAGACCTCGGGCAGGAGAGGAAGTGCATCAGTACTTTGATATTACTGTAAAAAGACTCAGATTGATCATTAATCCCTCCGGAGATGGAAAGACCAATGGTGAATCCATCAAGAAGGTTGAAATCTAATTTTGAAGTGTGTAATTGATCTGCACCTCAAACAAGAGTCTTAAATAGGCCTCAAAGGTAGCCAAGATAAAAATAACAAAACTATGAACAAGAGAAATTTACAGGCGCAATTACCTGATATCATTAGCCTAAAAAGATGTCCTCCTGGCTAAGATGCCCTTCCAAAAAGATTTTGCTGACCTAGATTTTTCATCATAATATTCCTATTCACTTCATACCTAAGTGCTGATTTTATTTTCATTCATGCTTCAGAATGTATCTCCTACTTTCTAGAAGTAACCAATAAAGTTCTAAGATGTTAACTCATCTGCCAGTAAAAAGATCCCATCCACTTCTCTTAAAAAGGAATTGGATAATGACTTAAGTAAGCTAAACATTCAAAGGAGCCCAAACATTTACTAAATGATCTGGTACTAGAGTTTGAATCTAAAAATCTGAGTAAAAGCAGGAAAACTTACCCAACATGCAGGAAGAGAAAAAAATCAAAGAGTAGTAATAAGAGATGCCAAGGGTCCAACCAAGCCAAAATATCATCTTTCTAGCCTAAGGGCTGGAGGAGCCAAGAGGAAAGTAAACAGAGAATAGAATTGGAGGTAAAAATAAGAGAATCCTATTGAAATTGCTTTTAATAAAACTGAAAGATCATAAAATATGAATTAGTTCAACTGGATTAAACATACAAGGTTTTTTTTCTTAATGTATACAGTTAACTTTATTGATAGATTAAACAAGTTAGGTGATTTGATGTCTGTCAAAAGATCGGTCTTCAAAACCATTTACTTCCTTGATCTGCCACAATCCTGATATAAACAGTCTAAATTAAATATGCCATCTATAATAGGGTTACTATGATTGATTGGTTCAGTAGTGGACACATGGTTCAAGACCAGATAATCCATTGTCTAGCCAGCACCCAATCAAAATATATCCTCAAGATTTAAATTAAAAGATGTACCATTTGTACCAAGTAACACAAATGCAACCACTGCCATGGACTCAGATCTGACTCATAGCGACCCCTCCTTGGGTTTCCAAGGCAGTATCACTACAGAAGTAGATTGCCCAACCTTTATTCCAAGGAGTGGCTAGTGTGTTT